AACAGAATTGGGAGCAGTAAATTAACTGTAACCCTGCTATATTCCCTGGCAATTACTGAGACTAGTACAAATACTGCATTGATCTACCACAGAGCAACATTCTCCTTTAGTCAAAAAGATCTTCTAACTGGTGTTTCACTACTGTTTTTCTTGTATTCTTACAAGAGCTTGAAAAGTTCTCCATTTAAGAAAAGAGAAGAAAGAGTCTGTATGGCCTTATGGTAAGGTTTTTGAACATCCTGTAATTTTCTAATTCTCTTTTTACTAACTGCAGCTAGAAAGAGAATTGACTTTTGAAAACTTGTCTGCATGGACCAACCCAGAGCTAATGGAGAAAACAAAAATGGAGGTTTATCTGCCCAGGTTCACGTTAGAAGAGAAATACAACCTCAAATCTACTTTGAACAGGATGGGGATACAAGATGCCTTCATAGAAGGTCAAGCCGATTTCACAGGAGTGTCAAAAAATGGTGATCTGTTTTTGTCACAAGCTTTTCACAAGTGTTACCTGGAAGTCAATGAAGAAGGCACAGAGGCAGCAGCTGCCAGTTCAGCAACACTGGCATCACGAAGCCTTGGTGCTACTGTTATTTTTGTGGCAGATCACCCTTTCCTCTTTTTTATCAGGCACAACAAGACCAAGACTATCCTCTTCTTGGGAAGGTTCTCTTCCCCCTAGAAACTCAGCAATTACTAAACAGGTTATTGCAACAACAATAATGAGCAAAATACACACCACAAAGAGCATCTCAATAGTCTGTGCACTTCTTAGTTTTCCTGTACTGTTGACAAATCTCTCAATGTTAGAAGAGAGTGCATATTAAAAATAACCTGAAATTCATGCCTCTGGCTCATTTTCTGGCCAAAGAACCTGAAAATGCTAGCACTATACTATAAGTACCAACTGTGCACAGAACAACATTGCTGTGTCTTTTCAGCACTTCTTGAACCAGAACTGCCAGAACAGACTTAGTTGATCTAAACCAGTAATTTTCAACATACTTGTTTGGGTACCTAAGAAGAAAAGAATCAGGAAAATCTCCTTCCTGCAGAACGCTGCTGCATCTCCACTGGTTTCAGCTCACTACGCTGAGCATCTCAGAAGGGCTACCTCACCCACACCACATTCTTGTCAGTAATTTACCAACTTTGCAGCCTGGCAATGCTGGTAATGAAATACATCTGAAAAATCCTCTGTGATCCTGATACTGGTGTTTTTTTCTTGCATGCAAAGGGGCTAACACATGTGCTTTCTAATCTCTGTCTCACAGCATTTGGAAAATGTTGAATGACACTATAGAATTGGAGGAAAGCTACACACGTCTTGAAACCTTCTCTTTTATAACCTTTCATCCATACTTCCCTGTTGCCAGCCTAGCACTGCATTGCTTTGCTCTCACTTGGCTTTGCCACTTACTTCACTGGTTTGAGGCAAGATCAAATGGGAGAATGAAATCTAATACTAATACAAGTAATACTAACTTCCTAAGTGCTCTCTGCAAGATGACATGCAAGTCTCCCAGGTCACATTTATTCCTGTCATAACTCCTTTTCCTAAGAGAGTGTACTAATCACACATGCATGTTTGCAGGGAATGCTCCTCACTATCTGAATTCACAACAGAAAGCAAAGGACTGTGTTTCTTAATGGACTTGTACACACCAACAGCATCTTACTAGCAACACATCTTCTTGGGACAGCAGGACTCCCTTTTCCTGGCAGAGAAGAGACTGATGAGTGTCACTGAGTCCCTTCTCTTTTTTTTCCAAGTGATTACCTGCTTCCAGGATCCCTTCTGGGTCTGGTTCCCAAATGGGAAGGAGCATAAGAAAAGTGTTGCAAAGCAAGTGCTTCATACTATTTCTATACAACCCAAACAGCACTGCCTTGTCTGTGAAAAAATGACACAGGATCCCCTTGCATTCAGGTGCAACTCTGCGACGCTCTACTTCACCTAATGCAGGGACCTCATGCCCCCATCGGCTAGCTTCTTAAGCACTTTCTGATGTGCCTTGGGAATAAACACAGGGAAGCCACACCCAGGAGGCTAAGAAGGAGCGAAACCATGACAACAAGCACTCAAACTCACAGGCCTTTAAAGTCAATGGAAATGTGAGTCACCTTTTCTCACTCTTTCAACTCTTTTAAGAATGATTGCAAAGATGACAGAGTTAATGTCCTCTTGGCAGTGCAAGATCATTACTGAGTATGGCCTTGAGGGGTACTTTAGGGAACAACCGTCTCCCAGGGTGAGCAGCAGTGCACTGGAGAAGGTTGCATGGAAAGGCTGTGGAATCTCCATCCTCGGAAGGGCTATGGCTAACCTTATCTACTCACGGCCCTGCTCCAAGCAGGAGGACCTCTGGATGGCCCTTTCAATTAATATGTGTTATTTTTCCTCACTTGTCTTTTGACACTCTATCTTGCCAGCTCCCTTTCTCATCCTGCCTGACATCCTTGCAACCTGACTAGTAAAACCAGCTAGCTTGCTCACTCTCAGCATACTTCTTTGGGACTTGTGAGTCTCCTGGCTTGGGCTTTCCCCGCATCTAACCATTCATCTTTCTCCTATCGGGATTTCTTGAGGACTCACTCATCATACTAAAACCAATGCTTGTTTAATTTCTCACATTTCTTCACTGCCTTGCACAATGTTGATTTCTGTCATTTCTTAAAAGAATTGACCCACTCTGTTTCTGTAATCAGGTTTGCAGCAAAATGCTTAGCACACAGTACAGTTTCCTTCCCTTTCTCCACCTTCTCCTGTCCTCCATGCTCTTAGAGTTGTTGCCACCACCTTCTTGGTCCACAGTCCCTCTTCTGGGACTGCAGAGTGACAACTACTGTGCCATGTTTGCCTTCATTGTATTTTTTCACTCCATCCTTGCTCAAGCCCTCACAATGGAGTTATTTCAATCCTTGCTTTCCTTTACTACATGCAAATACTATGCAGTAGCACAGTGTTTCGCAGTGTTTCTCTCAAATGATTCTCAGCTGTGGTTGCAATGAGATTTCTTCATCAACACCAGTGAGGTGTCCATCCCTTACCCTGCATGGTCCTTCATGGCTTTGCATCTGTGTATGCTCCTAATGATCTTCAATCTGAAGGTGAACTCCTGGAGCCTAATTCAATCACTAAGCTGGGTGTTTTAGGTTGACTAGCGTATTTGAAATCCAGGACTCACAGCTGCACGCAGCCAGAGAGGAGAATCAGGCTTTCAGTATCTGCTTAAATCCAGAAACCTAAAACAAATGTTGTGTAACCTTTTTACTAGTCACATATTTTAAACAACGGACTGGTTATCTACACAACACCAGAAAACCCCAGGAATGGGTGACCTGCTCTGCTATCCTGTCAGTAGACTATTGTGGTGTTAACAACAGAGCTGAGACTCTAATTCCATTGCCCTTTTGAAATGTCTAAAACTGAAAATTGACAAAGTCAACCAAGAGGCCAAAATTACATAAGATCTTTTGGGGATGGAGAAAGGAGCTTTAGATAGGCGGAAACAACCTGGACATAGTGGAGAAGGAAAGGGAGGTGCAAGCAATCCCATGTTTCTTAATTTATAAATTGGTCAATACACAAACGCAGAACCTAACTGAGGACAAGACCTAAGTCTTCTCTCTCACGGGATCAGAGGTAAATATTTAATTAACTTTTAGGATGTTTTTAAAAAGCAAACTGTGCCTTGTATGACTGTATAGGTAAATTATAATATACCAATGTTGTAGTGCACTATTCTCTGTGAGTCTAAGGAAAACTGCTAATTTGGGGCAGAATTAATCACAAAATGGAAAGTTTTCTTAGGGCAGTGACTGCCTTACAATTAAAATCTTCAGTTTGATAAAGGAGTCTCATATTTCAGGGGAAGGTACAGCACTGCACATTATCAAGCCATGGAGTTTGAGGAGTATTCATTAGCAGAAAACAGAGACATTTTCATCCTGTTGCTCTCTTTGTTGTGTTCTTCAAGGAGAGAATATCACTATGTGGTATAGATTTGGAACTGACATCACATTGACTGCCAGAAGAAGTGGTTTGGCAACCAAACACTTGATAAATACCTGCAGACTTCAGAGATTACCCCACAAATTCTATTGCTCCATTCCATAGGTATAAATATTAATAACAATATCAACATTTCTCTTAAGTGGAAAATAACATGAGGCTGGTAGTACTGGGCAGACATTTTAAAGTCTGGAATCCTCATAACTTCAAGGAATCTGCTAGTTTCTGGGGAAAATAAAATTGCTGGAACATAGAGAAGGGGTAGCAGGTACATGTAATGAGTAAGACTCCATCAATGTAAACATAAATAACAGCTTTGCTCTTCATTATATTATTCAGAATTAGTGGCTGGCCAGGAAAAGCAAACAAGCCTAAGAATTATGCCTAAATTCTTTTGCAGTATCAGTGCTCAATTCTATACAAATCCAAAATGAAGTAGTAGAAAACTCAGGCATGTTGTGAACTGATGTATTAAAAATGCATTTAAATTCCCCTGGGAACATTACTTTGCTAAATCATTAGTTAAGGGAAAAAAAATAAACCAAGTAAAATGCACGGCTTAGAAATCTGCATATTTTTGAAAACCAAAGGCAGAAAGATACACAAGGAAAACTGCAGCCCTACAAAAGAGGACATTTTTACATTTATAGGAAAATATTATCTGTCTAACAAAAAAACTAAAAGAAATTGCTCCTCTTAGCAGATGGAAAACAGTATCTGTGTAGAAGATAAACATGCAAGTAGGCTATTAGTTTTAGTGGCTGTCGATACATTGTGTTGCACATGTAACATTTCTCACTAATATGTACTGTGTGCAAGATTTTAAACATTCAAATAGTATAATTCTGTCTGTTGCCTCTTTCCAGGTTGTAGCAATGGAAGTGGTCTCAACATCACTTGGCAAGTTCACATTTGATCTTTTCAACCAGCTGAATGAGACCAACAAGGGAAAAAACATTTTCTTTTCCCCTTGGAGCATATCAGCTGCTTTGGCTCTGACATACCTGGGTGCAAAAGGCAATACAGCAACGGAGATGGCAGAGGTAGGTTGCTCTATGAAACATACATCCCATACAATACCTGGCTCCTGTACTAGCTGCAAAATTTAGTGTTAGATAGAAAAACTTGCCACCACAATGACAAGGCACTAAGGCAGACCACAGCATATAACTAGTGAATGGCAAATTTTATTCATTTCATAGCAGGTCCCTCTCTTCTCCACTAAGAGAGTGTCCTGAGGGTATCACACGCTGAGCACCAAGGTTGTTTGAACCTGTCTTCTTCTAAATTATTTGACACCTTCTAATTTATGCTGTGAGTCCACGATTCTGTTGCAGATGCTATATTACCTTTGAAAAACAAAGAGCTCATGCCAACAGCTCCTGAGTGGCAGGACACTTGCAGATCCCAGCACCTTGGCCAGGGATGCAACTTTCTATCTTGATTTATGCTTTCTTAAACAACTGCCTACAGGAAGGGCTTTGGTATATCCACATCCCCTGACTCAATCCTACGTAGTGCCACATGGGCACATTGCTGGCTCAGAAGGAACTGTGGTGCTCAGCACTGCCCAGCACTCTCCTCTGTGTCACTGCACTGCATTCAGATGCCTGTGTATCATTATCATGGGAATACCCATCTGGGTTTGCACAAACACATTGATATTGCTGGGAACTACAGCTGTGGAAGGGAGATCCACCTTGAAGTGTGTAGACAGGAGCACTGCATTGATGCCATGGGAGGGTGATGGTGCTATTCATTGTTATTCTGTCGGATTTACATATACTACAGCTTCAGCATCCCTTTGATTAGTCACCTAAGCAGCGGATAGCATGATAAGTTATCACAATGAATGAAACAAGACAACCATTTGATCCCCATTTGGCTTTAATTGATGCCAATGCCAGTTCCTTCATGCCTATTTCTAACTCTGTTTGCAGGTTCTTCATTTCACTCAAGCAGCAGGAGTTGAAGCCTCTTCTTCTGTGGCCAGGCCTTCTCGGGGGAGACCAAAGAGAAGGAAAATGGTATGTATTAGAACCCGAATTCCAAGATAAAGAACCACCAGAATCAAAATGTCCAGTATTTATTGTCTGCACTCCTGTTTAAAGCACAAACCCCAACATACTTCACAACAGGTTTAAGTTCAGGTCCTTTCAGTTAGACTCTGAGAAGCATGAAAGGACAAGTCACTGGGATAGTCTGGAAGGTTTGCTACATGATACATCAGTTAATCTAGTCATAAACAGAGCCCTAGAATTTGCAGTGATGGTAAACTTGGAAAAATCAAAATTAAGAAAGAGGAACCCAAAACCATCTCCCACATGCATCACTTAGCATGTTTTGAAAACTTCATGCAAAAATGCAATTGCTGAATGTATGGTTTCTTTTTTGAAGGATCCTGAGCACAAGCAAGCTGCAAATATCCATTCTGTCTTCAAGAAGCTCCTGACCGCCATCAACAAACCCAGAAGCACCTACTCGCTGAGAAGTGCCAACCGCATTTATGTGGAAAGAACCTTCCTGTTATTGCCTGTAAGTCAAGTCTCCACAAGAAAAAGGAAAGGTGCAATAATTATTTCTCATTTTAATTACTTGCCACTAATAGAACAGGTTCGAAGCTGACCTTATAGCTCTGGACTCCAGTGACAAACTTAACTGGAAAATACCAGTCAGTCTGCTCACAGAATTTAAGGATGCATTGCCCTTTGACTATACTGTAGGGATTCCTTTTCATGCAACATGGCTTTAATATTGGAACCCCAAATATATACAATTGTAAATGAGACATTAAAACAAGCACATCCGTAGGATGTGTGCCACCTTCCTTGCTTCTCCAGATAAAACTGGGAATAAAAGAAGGGAATTTTCTGTCCGTTGGTTGTTTCTTAACTGTTAGCCCACAGTCCAACAGAGAGTAACAACCAAGATCCTGCAATCCTCTAGGCCCAAAAATCTATCAAGAAGTACAAGAGCTAACCACTTCCCTTTGAAAAACTGTATTGTTCTGTAGTACAGAGCTTTTTTGGTTTGGGTTTTTTGGTTATTTTTCAGACATACATACAGTTCAGTAAGAACTACTACAAAGCAGAACCACAGAAGGTTAACTTTAAGACAGCACCGGAACAGTCCGGAAAGGAAATCAATGCTTGGGTTGAAAAACAAACTGAGGGTAAGCTGAGCTCAACCCCAACATCTTCCCTCTCCCATTAAGTCAGCCTGACATTTCCTTTGGGCAGGTGCCCTTGCTTCCCCATGTAATACTGCAGCACACAGGTAATGCCTTCCAATGTGGATATGGACAGTGAGCAGAGATGTGGTGGGAGGGCAGAGAAAGTCCCTGTCAGTTAGTCAGAAGGACAAAAAGCTTTGGAAACTGTAAAGAAACTAATTGATTTATGTCAGGAGAGCATTTTAGGGAGCCGTGTACTGAGGCATGGACATTTAATTAGAAAGCTGAACTGAGAGAAAAAATAAACAAAATGTCCTCACTGTGCTATGCTGGGATGAAACTTGACTCTTCTGATTTAAAAAGGCAAAATCAAGAATTTGCTGAGCCCACGTGATGTGGCAAACTCCACCACACTGATCCTGGTAAATGCCATTTACTTCAAGGCAGAATGGGAAGTGAAATTTCAGGAAGGACATACAGATCTGCAACCCTTCCGACTAAGCAAGGTAAGCTCTTCCTATAGCCCTACTCTAAACAGACTGGTGACAACAGCTACTACTGAAATCTTTTGGTTTCACAAGTCTTTAGTTATCTCTGTAGGAACTAGACTCTGTGAAAAGCTGCTAAGAGCAAAATCTGTCATTAAGTTGCTGCTCAGGTAAATGCTAATGAGCTCCAGATAACACCTGTTGTTTCCAAAAGCACTAGAGTCACTTAAGACTTTTTTGTAAAACAGTGCTAAAAATTACTAGATTGTAAAAACACGATTTTGAGAGTCCAAGCTTCATGGATAGGAACTGCATGGCATGCCAGGGGGGAGTATGGTACCCAGGCCTCTGTGTTGCAGTCTAGCTAGGCACAAACATATAAGGTACCCTGAACAGGTGTGTGGTTGGATGAGACTAGGAGAAACGTCAGTGGCATATATCCAGAAGAAATGTTAATGAATTCACATTATAAGACAAACTGTATCTTCTGCTTTCTGAGTAGCATGTATACATTATCTACTTTCCTGAATGAAGGGACATAGATGATAAGGGAGGTTACATACTTGTGACAAGGGTGACTACTTGCCAGGAACTCCCCTCAACATGAGCCCATCTGCTCTGACACTAGTGTTATCTTCTTTTAAGGATTGTGACATAAAGAGCAATCAGCTGGTGATTTTTTATCACCAGAGAGAGGAGACTACAGAAAAACTGCACAGTACTCATCCTCTTAAACAATGGCTGGTTTTCTGGCATGGTGTTGTAAGGGCATATCCCATACTTGCTCTATCCCCCTAATCCTTGCAGACGTTTCAAGCCCTCTTCTTCCCTTCTTTGTGGGCTCCTGTGAATGCTTTGGGATGAAGATAAAAATCTGTCAGTTCAACCCCCAACAAAAGCTTTGGGACAAACACCATGATAAGCAATATTGCCCAGTCAAGAAAAGCTTTGGAAAATGAATGATAAATTGCAGTTTTAAGAGATGCTCATAAGTTTCCTCTCCCTGTACTGCACTGACACATCATCATCCTTCCGTTCAAGGAATGATTTCTTACTTATAAATAAATGTTACAGAACAAGACCAAGCCTGTAAAGATGATGTACATGAGAAATACATTTCCGGTTCTCATCATGGAAACGATGAATTTCAAAATGATTGAATTGCCATATGTGAAACATGAACTGAGTATGTTCATCCTCCTTCCTGATGACATCAAAGACAACACCACGGGTCTTGAACAGGTAAAAAAGCATGTTACACCTATTTTAAGTCAGTGCTCAGCCAGTAAAAAATGAAACAAAAAGGACAGGCTGTCAACCATATCTTCCTCACTGAGGACATACTGTTCGATCTCCTTCACTAGCTGAATTAATTTCCTTTAATACTTATCTAATCTTGAGAAAGTTCCTCTATGCTGCTATTATAGTTTGGTAAGAACTGAAGAGAGTGAATGCTGTGCATAACCAGATGCTTAGCTCTCAACAGGTCCATGACTGACATCCAATCCTGCATGATCTGTAAGGGTTAAATGTCAGGAGGGACAGTACTGCACAGGCCTCTTCTGAGATAACAGACACCTCTTCTCCATGGCCTGGAAGTTTATTTACCATATTGTTCTCATTCTCTTTGCCCTCCTGCCCCCTGCCATTTGTTAGCTGTCTGAAAATCTAGGGTTTTGATGAGACTGCATTTGGTACAATAATGAGATTTGCCACTGTAGTTACTACAATTCAAAGATTGTTAAATTCTTGGAGTCTATATCATTCAATGCTTTCCTCCATCTGATCCGAGCTGAACCCTGGTGCTGTAGTGCCCAGGACACAGGGTGGCAGTAAAAGGCTTTGCTGGAAGCAGCTTGTTTTAAAACTGCCAAGGAAATACATGCAATATTAAGACCTGTTTTTATACAACTGGCCAAGCCACCTGCCACAGAGCTGCCAGTCTCACAGTAATTTTTCTTTACATCAACTGAATTAAAAGAGAAGAAAGAACTACCTCAGGGGATGGCCGCTGTTGAGTGCCCTCCCTGTCTTTTTTTTGCAATGAATTTGGCAGGGGTGGTGCTCAAAACTTTGCAGCATTAAGGCTCAAATATTTGTTGTACACCCTGCTTCTGATCATCAGTAAAAGCAATTAATATTTCACACTTTCAGCTAAATGTTAAATTTGTCATTAAACTGACATGAAACTTGATTAATTCATAGTTAATTGCTTGTTTTTTCCTTGCACACATCAAATTCCTTCTCTTTCTTAAATGATAGCTGGAAAGAGAACTGACATATGAGAAGCTGTCTGAATGGACTAATTCCAAGAAGATGACCAAAACTCTTGTGGATCTGTACCTACCTAAATTCAAAATGGAGGAGAGATATGACCTCAGTGATAATCTGATGAGGATGGGAATGCGCAGTGCCTTCAGCAGCAATGCTGATTTCAGTGGAATGGCTGAGAAGGGTGGATTGCAGATATCCAAAGTTTTTCACAAGTCTTTTGTTGCAGTTGATGAGAAGGGCACTGAGGCAGCTGCTGCTACTGCTGTCATTATAGAGCTAACAAGTCTACATGTTGGCCATGTTCTGAAATTTAAGGCTGACCACCCTTTCTACTTCTTCATCAGACACAACAAATCCAAGAGCATCCTCTTTTTTGGTAGATTCTGCTCTCCCCTAGAATGATTACTTGCTCTCACACATCACCCAGGGTTCACTGTTCAATGAAAGAATGTGAACTGCAAATTAAAGTCTCAACCTTAAGCCCTGTAGCCATCTGTGCTGAAAGTGTATGTCCTTTTTCTCACTCCTCCCACCCCGCCCCAAGGAAGGCAGTGCCCAGAAACTTGAGCCACCCTGTGCCTCAAAGAACACCCCTCTACTGCTCCTTTCCATTGTCCTAATGAGACAGCCCTCCACAGAAATCAGACTGCAGAATTCTCCTTTGCATCAGACCTGCTGTTCTGGTTTTGTTTGAGAATAAGGTGGAGCCATAAAAGCTCTCTGCACACAGGCCCTATGTCAGCTTCTTTCTTCCAGGGAAATGCAGTTCATTCTCATGACTCTCCTAGAGAGAAAAAAAACAAACCTGGGAAGAAAAAAAAAAGAACTTGTAGAAATCTGTATGCTCTCTTTTCCTCACTGAGAAACCTGCATTTGCATTACAATGCTATTTGCTTATGTTAATTTCGAATTTAGGACTGTTGGAAATTAACAAAATTGAATACGAATCCAGAATAATCTCAAAATACCCCTTACCTTCCCCTGTCTCACCATGTATATAGACATCACATTTCTTCTCTCCTGCCTCTTCAGCTTCCTGAAAAAAGAATTCTGCAAGCAATAATGGTCCAGCCCTTAACATTAAGTTGTTGACTTCTAACCACCTTGCATTTTTTTATCTTTTGTCTAAACTTTGCAGTTTAAGGTTGCTGAGAGTTCCAACCAGCAAAAATGTTAAGAAAAATATGAGCAACATGCCTTCTTGGTATCTCTCATTGATACATAATCTAAACTCTTTAGAATTTAAATCTGCTTCCTCTGTTTAATTTTATCTAATTATACCTGTTTCCTGGCTAATATCTACACAGCTTCCTTGCTACCTGTATTATTGACCAATGTTTGATTTGTCTCTTATGAGTGCATCTCAGCAAAGATATTCATAGTATAGGCAGAAACACCAGTGAAATTTTCATAGATGCTTTTCTTCATAATTTTACCATGACCTGCATTCAATACAATAAATTAACTTGGAGTTGTGTTTGTGTTATTCAAGACACTGAGTTACTTGTTTCTCTTGGAGCAACCTGTAACATATGTGGCTGGAGCACATTTCCATTCTTTCTGTTCCAAACTAACCACAAATTCCAATCAACAAACCTGAGAAACTTTAGTACACTAGTGTCTTATTTTTCACTAGGCTTCAAATAGGCCCCAAAACACTGCTATTCCACGTTATTGTAGGCATTTACTAAACATACCTGTCACAACACAGTAGAAATGAGAAGTCTGACTAAAGGCTATGGCCCAGAAGAGAGCACCTTCCAAACAGTCCTTCTGCCCATGTTCAGTAGTGAACAAGCAACGTGAAATAAAGTGAACCTTCCACACATCCCTTTTGCCCATGTACAACAGTGTACACACAGTGCTGTTCTGGCAGCATAAGTTCCCTCCATGGCTTGGGAGGGCAGCAGTTGTGCTTTCACATAGCCATAAGGAATGGCATAAAGTATTGTAGCCATTGTGGTACTCTAACACCTTGTCAGAGAACATTATCTAAAACAAGATTTGAATGCAGAAAGGAGGTAGTGTAAAAGGATTTACTCTCAGCAAACCTCCACCTATAATTACAACTAAGTCCACCTCCCAAAAGCTATTTTATTTGGAACTACATCTCCACCCAACAGAGTATACTGCTGCTTGTAAAATCAGCGCCCTTCCTTGCCTGTAACCCTCAGGGTTCAGCTGTCTGTCACCCAAGACCTACCCCAGTGCAGCCCAGTTGTATTGACTCACCTTTACTGAGAAATTTGTTGTTTAGGTGTGGGAAAGCATGTAAGTGAAAGCCGTGCAAAATAAGAAAAGTAAAAACAGAAACAGAGAAGTTATTTACAGGAAGGAGTAGTCAACATAGAAAGGCTTCAGGGAGGGAAACACTTGCATGAGGAGTTACATATTTTTTTTAAAAAATGAAGAATTGAAAGGTAAAAATTTTCAACATGAAGGCTGAACCTCTTCCAGGGGGCAACAAAGTGCCCTACTTAAGTGCTGCTTGGCCAGCAGAGACTCTTTAGGTTGGTAAATGTGCTAATTCTTAGCCATGTAGCATTATAATCCTATCTCTCTGCTGTGTGTATTCCACAATAAGTAATAACTGGGAACTCCTAAATGGTGCATAGCCAGCAAGAAGAGTCACTGCATTTAAGAGCAAAAGTTGCCCCAAAAGGTAGGAAGAGTTCCATGTGCTCTGCAAAGCAATACCTCTGAGGCTCTCTGAGGAACTACAGCATGGTGACTGACAGCTGGCAAGAGGTGCAAAGGGTCAAAAAGGCTGGTTTTGGTACCAAGCTACTCCTAGTCTCAGCTTTGCTTGAGAGATGCTGCCAAAGTGTGCACCTTGCAATGTAAGACACACCTTAGATGCAGGTTAAAAGGGTGAAAGAGAAGGAAAGAAACACATCCAGGGGGCAAACACAATTCAGAGCTTATCTACTTCAAGCAACATTGGAAGCTGCATCATTTGTGCCTCCCTGCACTATTTTCATACTAACCAGCATCTGGCTCTCAAGTCAGACTAATCCTTACAGAGTCAGCAAATCGTTCAAACTAGAAGTGACTACTTGAGATCATCTGGCCTAACCCCCTACACAAACAGGGTCAGCTAGTGCAGGTTGCACAGGACCATGTCTAGATGGATTTTTAATATCTTTCTCCACCAATGGAAACTACACAACCTCTCCAGGCAGATTTACAAATGACGAGCCCTGGGGTTGTTCTGCATCATCAAAATTTCTAATGTCAGGTCCCTGAACTCCTCCTTGAAAGGTCACAGCACTTCGTAAACTTGTACAGAAGAAGTATCTACAGGAAACTAATGAAACAAACCTCAATACAAACACGTTGTGAGCACGGACTGCTTGTCACTTAGTGATTCCAGGCCTGTGAAAACATCATGTATTAACAGGGTGTTTCAGTTTATCCTACAGTGAAAGTTGAGACTTTTGCCTCCCAGTGCAAATCTCAGCTTCATAAAATAATCCCTGGCACCTCTGTGGTAGATGGACTTCAAGTCAAGCAGAAATGGTAGACACAGCACAGAATAATAAAGACAAGAAAGTTTAGTGTTGTAGTGCTAGTATTCAAGGCAAGAACATATAAAACCCCCATGATTTCAAACTGCAATGCAAATGCATCCATATTTTCAAAGGTTTTATCTTGTCATCAGTAACAGGCACAAGAAAAACCCTTGTTATATGTTATTTGTAGTTCATTCCTTTGGAGGTCCATTACAACAGATGTGATACTTGGTCTCATTTTCTTCCCAGGGCACATAGCTAAATGGGATTTTTTGCAGAACAAAAATCTGTAATTGGACTTAGTCTAGCAAGGAGTTTAGATTCTGCTGCTTTTTACTAGGCATAACTGATGTCCCGAACACAGGCTGTTACCTGGCATGCAGTGCCAATTCACACATCAAGGTGAGGTATTTCTATTCTTTATTCTAATTTGTCCAAAGTAGGGAGCTAGGTGGTAACCCACAAAAGGCTCCTGTGCCCTAGTCATCAAAACTCTACCCTATTTATACATTTTAACATAGGCATCAGCATTCATTGGCTACAGGTTACCTAAATTTGTCATTAATTAGTACTCAAATCCTTATTTCCTAGTTATATCTCTTGCCTCTCATACTAATTAGTCTGGATTGCACAGTTCTTCCCTCCATTTGAGTCTGGGGTTCATTTTGAATAGGTGGTCAATGAGTTCAATCTGCCACTGCTGGAATTACTTTTTCCTCAGTTACTGCTCCGTTCTGCTGACTTCACTCCTGGTGGCTATTATCCAGACAGCCCATTCATTTTGGGATTGTCTTCCCTTTTCCTTAAAACAAAAACAAAAGATTAGCCAAGCATACAATGTTCACAATGCAATTGCTTAATCATAACTGCCTAGGTATAGCTACTGATTAACAACTAAAAAAGAATTGTTAAGTTTGATTTATATCTTGAGCAGCTCAGATCTTGAGCGGCTTGATATCATAGCTGCAAGGGAACTGATCTTCAACAAATGCCCAAATGGCCCACTCAGAGTGAGACATTTACAGAGTACCAGTGTGGGAGTATGGCAATTAAACAGGAAGAAAGATACAACCTCACATTCATGCTGAGCAAGATGGGGATGAAAAATGGCTTCAAAAAAGGCCAAAATTACTTCATCAGTATACCGGAGGAAAACTACTGTTTTATCTTTTTATGCTCATTTGTCAGAGGTCAATCCACTTCAGGTCAACAGATCAGGCATTGTGATGCTGTGAAAACTTGTTTCTACCATTCTGGCTGCAGCAATTCATTATTTCCTCTCACTGTTTTCATCTGGCAAAGCAAAACCAAGAGCAACTCTTCTTTGGCTAATGTGCTCCACTTCGTAATTCTAGTATCTCTTACTAAACAGGATCTTGCAGCAGCTGGTATATACCACAAAGAAAGGGTACACAGTTTGGGCACCCTTTCTTCATTTTCCTGTATTTTTGACCAATCTTTTTAGCTTGTTGTACCACTAACTGTTTGGGTTTTTTTCTTCTCCTACGAAATTACCTAAAAAATAGACAACAGCAGTTTCAGATACATAGAAGAAACACTTCTTAAGCTCATAACTAAACATAACTGTCATAAACATAAATGAGGCAGAAGAGACATAATAATTGCAAAGGAAATGTATGAATACAATTTAATCTAAATCAGATTAGGAGATTCAGGTATCACAGATACTGGAGTAAACCAGAAGAATTACTAATTACACTGGGTTAAAGTAAAACATTTGTCGTTCATGTAACTCTTTTGTATTACACCTTTGCTGATACCCAGTTTTACACATTTTTCTTTTTTTGCAGCTTTTGGTGGATGATCCAAACTAGCTCAATCCATCTGAGAGGAATAATAAGTTTAGTACAGTGTAGGGTCTGCAGTTAT